AAGTTAATGTTGCAGTTTACAAAAAAATATATTGATTCAAACCTGTTCAGTTGAAATCACTCCCCAACGAATCCTTATGGCAGATTTCTCTGTGATTTTTGCGACCTTCATAAACGTTTCAGTACTTTTAGGAAGTGCAAACCTTCCTCTACACGAATACGGTCTCCTCTTCCCCACAGGTCCGCTTTTGAGGAAGTTATGGTCCTTCAAAGACACCCCACTTTGCTGAAAACTCGCGTTCCACATGGCTGGTCCTGCCCAGAATCCCTCCCCCGGTACCTCGGCCTTTAATCAGCTGATTGCTGTTTGCTCTCGTTCGTATTTACTCTTTCGTATTTATCTTCTTCTCGGTTTATTCGAATATCGAATATTTATCTTCTCAGTTTACTCGAATACGCGTCAGAGCGCGCCCCAGCAATTTTGCTTGGACCGCTCAGAGTGCTTTTAGGAGAAGTTGGCTTAATTTCCTGTTTTTTTCTTTTAATTGCAATTGATTCAGGTACCAGAGTTTGTTTTGACTCGAGGAAAGGTGGGTGAAACCTAATGGCCTTTCTCTATTCTCTTTTCTGAATCAGGATAGAAATGAGCAAAAAGCGAGGGGGGCCTCGTTCAGGATTGTTACTTTTTCCATTTCGCGCTTACTTATACATAAACTTATGAAGTTTCTTCCTCCTCGGGGGGGGGGGGGAAGAAACTTCATAAGTTTATGTATAGGGGGGTCGTACGGGCTCCACCAAAATCCCCAACCAATGATGTGCCCTGGTTTTCCTTTTGAGTCATAATAGCATCGTCCACCTCCATATTTGACTAGCACAGCTCCAGCATAACTTATTAACACTTCGGCACACCAAACAGTTGCAGTTGAAAACCGTGTGCTAAAAAAACCAACCCTTTACCGACTCCAACCAATTTCTCAACCGAACCATGGCTAAAGCTCCTTTAGGAAGTCTCACACAAACAGTATGCCAAGGATGCCATAACCTCGTGCTTTTACTGTTCACTCAGTTGAGCAGGAGCTGCAGGCAGCCGTCAGGGTATACTACATATCGAACATTCACAGTTTTTGAAATGTTGTATGTGCTCTTTCATTTGAATTGTGCTACACAATTCACCATGTGACCTCCGTTGGCCACCCCCTCGTTGTGTGCAAAACTCTGATTTCCGTCTTGCAGCTTCGTAGGGAAGTCATTGCAACCTGGACTGCTGGTTGTGTACTGATTTTGGAGCATGTGTGATATGCTTAGAAATGACGGTTTATTTTGTTACTTCTTGGCTCCTTTTTCTCTTTTTCGGAGTTTCATGTTCCTTTCGTGAAGACTAAACATATCGTCAAGCACACGCTCAGTTTTTTCCATAACAACTTGCATACGCTGAAAGTATACCATCAATTACTCCTTTAATGCTGTATTCAGCTGTTGCGAAGTTCAATACCTTCTTCTTGATCTCCTCATCAGTTGATTTACACACCATCTCGAAAAAAGGTCCTACCATGGGCACAATCATGAAAGCACCCATGGGGAAATACTGACGATAGGCTTCTTTGAGCTGAAAAGGACGAAACATTCAGGGACGTTTGAGAATGGTTTTTGTCACTTCTGCCACTGGATATACAAACTCCGCTTACCTGCTCGAGGGTATATGGCATCTTCCTGTTACCCACTTCTTCTCTGAGATATCCGTAAAACTCTTCTAAAAGTTCTTCCCAGTGAGCCTGTCCGATCCTTGCCGCTTGAGACAGGCACAAAGCACCCGCACAAGATCGGTTGCTGCGCAGCCAAAGTGGGCCGTCTAAACTGCTCCTTGATCAGTAAATAAGTTTCAATATGCACTCAATTCCAGACTTGCCTTGCAAGAATCAGAACTGCTACCTGATAGTCCACAACAGCGGCCATGTTGAGAGCATCTCCTTTTTGTCTCCACAAAACGTTCATGGACCATAAATCGCCGTGACATAAAACTTCTTCCATTCCTAAAAACAGCTATTTTTTGCAATGCCGTGGGTAGCAAGCGAACAGCGCTCTGTGCGCGTAGAAACCACACAGCAGGCTCATTTTAGTATGGTCTCTATTCCGACTTTGCGCAACCGCCTGGAGCATACTTAACCGGAGCTCATGACTCATATTTTCCACCCGTTCAACATCTACCAAATCCGGGAAAATTTCCTTGAGATGCTTCCCACTCTCCTTAAATTTGCCGCCTTCAAATGTGGAAAACACTGTCAGCAGTCGATCCACCATCTGAATAGTACTAGAAAAAAAGCAGCAATGGTAAGTTCTTGAGGACCTCGAGGACCTTATTCAAGTAGTAGCAAAAGCAAGCACTGGCATCCCTTTCGACAACAACTGCTCTACTGTACCTCTTCGTTGAATACCGCTGCGAAGATGGTTTTGAAAGGTGATATGTACTCATTTCGCTCTTCTGAGGGCACGTCGAGTGAGCTCGCTTCCATTGCGGCTTTGTCGAAGAATCTCACTAGGTGGCATTATATGCCTAGTCTATACGTAAATGTACATCAAAGGCAGTTTTCTCATGTATACAATTCATAGTTTCTAGTAACAGGTACGCTATTTCCTACAAACCTGCTTCACTTCTTGTGGCGTAACGGTTTCATATAGATGCACTGCCTTCAGGTTCTCAAGGTATTCCATGATTATATACCCTTTGACAGGATTCCACTCTGTGAACATCTTCATGTAGTAAATCTGAAGAGTTAGAACTTTGAACAATTGAAGTGTACCGAAATAATGCGGAATGATTCAATTAGTCCAACTCATTAATTTCTGCATCAAATCCCAGAATATAGACGTGAACAGCCTACTCTATATAATCTGCTAAGTGTTCTGACGGTCTGCATGCATGTTTGTTTGAACCGGGCTTCACAACTTCCTGAGGTTTAGCTCCAAAAAGTTCAATTTGATAAGTGATACAGTGACGAGACGCGAACATTATGGATTGGTGAGAGGAACCCATAATAACTGATAAGGACTGATGATGGGCGTTGAAAATGAGCCTTCGTCAGATTATATTTTGGTCACAGTAACAGTGGGTCGTTGGTTGTAATAAATAAACTGATGGTGGGATGAGGGCATTCACTACAGGCTGCAGAGGATGATATCCATTGAAAAGAGTTAGTAAGGGACGTTAGAAAGAAAGCTCAACTAAATAAACTCGCAGCTCTTCCTTTATTTCATTTTTACCGTATTGGGCGCACAATACAGCCCCATCCCTTCCCGCGCGACATTGCTACATGCACCTTATTGCAAGAGCATAACAGTATATAGTTCAACGGACGATAACGATTTTGTTGATATCGTGATGGCTGAAGGAAATACAGGGTGATTAAAAAGTTCTGGCAATTTTGTGTTGGCGCGTTTTTTTTTGTAGTGGTCGCTTTTTTTCTCTCCGACCAGTTATTTGGATTCCGCGCGTAATTTTGATCTACTATGATGAGTCATCCAACCAATCACTTTCAATTACTATTCACAATGTCCCGTGAAAATCAGCGCGTCACCGTTGTAGAGTTGCACAAGTCAGGGATATTATTATGTTCTGTATGATGTATGTATTATTGTATGATGTATTGTATATTGTATTATGTATGATATTATCATTATATTATTATGTCTAATATTTTCGACTGATATCATTATTTGTCACAGGTCATCAATGTCCTTATCACTAAATATTTATAATTTGTAGTGCAATAGCTCCAACAACTCTAACAACGACGACCAGGTCCCTCATCGTCCCTATCGGCTGTTATCGCTTCTTGTCACCTACTCATCCTCAGTGAACAATTGATGGAACGAAAGCCTCGCTGATGCTCTGAGCAGCTTTCAGTTCTTGTTAACCGTCAATGATGCTCCTCTCCCATATTCTAAATCTTATCTTGGAATCAGCACCTAGATGATGCTGTTCCCGCTTTTTGAATATGGCGACCTTGAAGACAGCTCCGCGATAAAAGTGTCATGGATAGTTGCTTTTCAATTATGAAACAGTAGCTGATAAGTAATCCCCAAAGAAGAAAAAAAGCAAGAAGCGTCCTCAAGAACAACATAAACAAAATCGCTCCCTCACAGTCACACCTCCCTGCGGTCTCTGTGCAACCCCTAGCTCACAAATCTCTCTATCACATCTCGCAGTAATATCATCCAGTGCAAAAAAGAATACAAAAAACAACAAAAACGCAGAGGAAAAACTCTTGGAAGGAAAAAGAAATTTTAAAAACTCGGTGTCCGAATTTGGGATTACGGTAGCGCACATTTTAGTGTAGTGAAGTGCGCCGAGCTTTTGCACCACGAAAATTGCGTCACTCGTGATTTTTACGCGTTTCACCTTGCGAAATGGGTTGAGTTGAATGTATATGCCCCAATGAGTAAACTGTAATAAAGGAGAGCAGAATTATTGCTCAGCAAAAAGGACATGCAATTCCGATTAATGCCCGCCGCCCCAACTAAGAACAACTGAGTGGCCTCCGTCGGAGGGCATCTAGCAAGTAAGGCGGTCCAACTGAGCAGGCGTTAGAACTAGAACTTTCAGCGGCTGTAGCTCCTCGTCCGCGGCAATGAGGCGCTCGGAAGGGGAATCCAGACTTTAGTTTACCTTAAGCCCTCCAAAAAGGAAGAATGAGCAAAGTGTTAGGCCAGTTCAACAAACATCCCTCCTATGAGCCTCGAAAGGCAAAAAAACACATGGAAAAGACATCAGTGATAATTCATGTGTACACATCGGTAAATTCCAATGTCACAGGACCATTTATGAATGAAAAAAATGCAAACCTTCGGAATACGAATACTCTCCGTGGGGGCTTTCATGAGATGTTTGTACGTTCTTACTTCGGCGTTATGACACTGAAATACTTGTAAGATCGTACTATTGCCGAAAAAATAGCAATTGCTCGTTAACAGCGCAGTTCACAGCACCATAGCACAATTGCATTCTCTATGAGACCTCCAGTTTCTAGAGTTTATGGGACCGCTGAGCTACCGCACCACACTAGCACTGTGCCCAAATGACGTTTGTAAATGTTGTAACTATATATAACTCTCAACCCCTTTAGACTGTATAACGCAGCCGCCATTAAATGCCATATAATTTGAAGACTTGGTCAGCGATATGAAGCTCAGGTAGTGGTCGGTCCTTAATCATGAAAGAGAGTTGGCCAAAGAAATCTTTAATAAAGAAGTATGTGGAAGATTTCGTCGGATATGCTTTTGATGGCATCCTTGTTTGCACGACTCGTGGCCCTTCTTTCAGCTAAGGGATTTTTCCAAAAGCACGCTTTCCTCCCCCCCCCCCTCCCCGCAGGCTACCCTCTCTGGTGGAACTCCATTCCCAAGATGCCAACCACCTTCCTAACATGTACCACCTTTCGACCAGTCAAAAAGAATCCTAGTTTCTCCTTATAAAACCTTCGTCCCTCCTCGTGCTGGGGATTCGTATAGCACGTGAGTACAAGGCGAGAGTACTGCTCGCTGAGGTGAGTACAGTCAACTGATCCCTTATGATGAACGCTACTACTTAATTAAATGAGATTTCATTTCATGGTGCTGGCACGTTTATGCTGGAGGGCGGTCCTTAAAGGCGGAAGAAGGAAGGAGGTGTCACCGAGACAACTTCGAGCTCCTGCGCTTTTACTTTGCAACTTTCCGCCGTGGAGCTTATGCAGTTTCTCCATTGAGCACCAGACTGCCAGAATTCCCGCAGAATGATCGCGGACCATTCCTTTGTAACCTGCGAAGCAGAAGAAAAACTGTGAAAATGCTGGCAATAGGGTGTGTCATATGTAAGAATCTGAATATCTTTGTACGGAAACCTCGCGCGAACTTGTGGTCTATCATACGAACCAAGGGGCTACAGTTACAGTGCTTTATTGAACAAATTCATTCAAAACAACCATGCTGAACTCACTCCCTTCTGCATCGCTTCGAACTGTGCCATGAACTTTGGATCACTGAAGGGGGAGTTCGATGTTATGTATTTCGCTCATCTCAGCGCCCATCTTCTGCATGACGAGTTGAGTGAGAATCTGAAACTGAAGGTTCTCCAGGGAAGCAGATGTTATGGGTGGAGGAAATATCGGTGCTAACATAATTTGGAGGGGCTGCGCTGCGACGCGGTATGATCGCGGATCTGTAAGATTATACTGTGCAACACTTAAGTCGTGACACCACAATACAACGCAAAATGAGCTTTCCAGTGATGAAATGTGCGGAGGAGCGATTCTTACCCGATAGCGTGCGGTTTCTGAGCTTGGCTATCCGCCTACCCAAGACTGAGCAATAGGAAGGAAGAGAGCGGTGTGGCGACGAATGGAGGTATTACACCTGTCCAACGATAGAATCGATTGCACCATGCCAGCTACCTAACTGTCGTCAAATTCTCAAATAAAGTGCCAGAATCAGGATTCCATTGCACGGGGATGGATTCGTTTAGCTCACTTCACATGCCTCACACACTGGAACTCCGTATCTGAACCCCAGCGTCTGGCTGCATTTGTATTTTGCGGCAGCGTCCACCTGTGCTCCGAGCGTCTGACAGCGTCTGTCAGCGTCCACAAGCATCTAATAGCGTTCACCAGCTTCTCGAGAGCTAGCGCATTACACAGTATCTATCCAGAACGGTCTACAGCATCTGTCAGCATCCACCAGCGTCCGAGAGTACGGCGTGAGAGGAGGGTAGCTGACAGCTGGCACAGTATGGGATAATAGGGGGTAGCAGATGCTCGTGCAGAGAATAGGGCGACAAGAGGATAACAGATAGCGGTAGAGTGTGGGATGATTGGAGGGCAACAGACAGCTAATAGACCGAAACCTATGCTTCCTAGCCCTCGAGACCCTTGTGGACGCTGATACACGCTGGAGGACGCCGGCGGAGGC